AGGTAACGAAAAGTCAACCGAGGTTCGATCCGAGTTCAAGCCACCAAGCATCCTCCGAAAAGGCTGCTGAGCCACGGCAACCCGTAGGAATGGAGCCCATGTCACCGGCACGGTTGTCCCCACCCACATAGTACCCACCAACATCGACATCTCAATTCCCATTTGCACGCACAAATCCGATCCCACCTACCCACTTCTCTCGGCAACGATACCCAGAACCCCTGTCCCGTTGACTCGAGATCGGCACTCGATTCGCACGCGGCTCACTTCGCCGCAGCACCCACTCCACAACACCGAGCATCCTTATATACGACTACCGCTTTCGGCGTTTCTTTGTACCAAGCATAGACTGCAGCGGTACTCAACGCCAGCCAATGTATCTTTTGCTGAGGACATACATGTGGTCGACGGGACGCCTAGCGGGTTTCGAAATGTGCTGTTTGCGGTAGGTGTGGAAAGTAGGAGGATTGCAGCGGAGAGAAAGACCGAGGATGGGTTTGCTGCTTTGGGTAGAAAGGGAGAGGGTGTGGAATGTAGGAGGGGCCCGCGGAGGTTGAGGCCGCTTTTGGGTTTCTGCTTGTAGTAGGAAAAGAGGAGGTGTTGAATGTAGTGAAATCGCGGTGTTTTGCTCCATCCAATGGGTTTGGAGTCCGTCGATGAGCGATGCGGTTCATGTCATGGTCGGTTCAACGCTCTAAGCGATGGACTTGGGCATGTATCTTGGCACAATGCTGTTTTGAAGGCCTTGTGTGTTGTCAAGATCATCATGTTGCAAGACGGTTTTGGGAGAAGAACCCAGCATTCCCATGAAGCGAAGGATATGCGTCTTCGTGATCAAGGCAATGATTAATAATCTAGGACAAGAGACATCCTCAAAGCATTCATACGACATGCAAGCAAGCCTTGCACATGAGTTTGCGCATGCCATACTTGTTAAGATATCTCCAGGAAAAAGTATATGTGTAACCTTCAAGTAATATTCGTAGATTTTGAAGGCCCTCAGGCGTAAACAAGATGATACCGCATATTCAAAGTCGCGACAATGACGAAGGCCGACGACTACATCAAATTTGCAGCGGAGACTTTGAAAAGCAATGGGCTCTTTGACTTCTGCACTCATGCGACTGTGGTGGTGTAAATTCGCTCAAAATCTCATACATTTGTCAAGTACGGACTTTTGACAAAGAGTTCCATCAAACGCCACTGGCGATTTTTTGGAAAAGTATGAAGCGTAGGGAAAAGTAGCCCTTCAGGGAGACATTCAACGGCAATTCGGCAGTTTTGAAGTTCGAGCGGCAGAAGAGAACATAGCAATCTCCTCGAGCGTTCTTGGTAAGGTAAGGTGAGGAGTGAAGTTGCAGAAGTCCTGCCTTCCATCTGCGAGTTATTTATATTGGTAGAATGCCACTAGCGGTAGAGTGGAGCGACGAGTATAGATAATGGGCAAGGCAGAGAACCGAGAGAGCACATGTGTCCAATCTCGCAGACTTTTGACAAATATTGCAGCGGTCCTCCGCCCACACAACTCATCGAAAGCAGAGTGTGTGTTTTCGTAACGCCCAAAGAAGGGCAGGATCACATGTTATCGTAAGACAATGAATTTGGACTCCATGCGAACATCTCAAGGCCGCGCAATGTTGTCAAAAGTGGTAAAACATACTCCGAAAAAGACCATATGCGCGCGACTATTTTGTTCCTTTGCCACATGCACTGTCTGAGTTCATTTTTTGCAAACGCGACATGTGTTCGGTCAAGGCGGAGTTTTGAACGTGCTCAGAGAGCAGAAGTCATGCAATCGACGGTGGCGATTACAAATGATGGAAGTAAAGCGAGATGCCGGAGAGACATCTGCAACAAAGTCGATGACTTTTTGGAAGACCGAGACTGCTCCATAGAAGTTGAGGGCACTAGTTTTGGAACAAACCAGGAAGCATACACATAGTACACTTTTGTATTTGATTTTGATGCGGTAAGATGAAGATATGGAAGGAAAGTTGGAGGACATGGAAGGTGGTATTTATACTCGCTAATCTCGCCCCCTCCCAAGGATCTTGGCTCCGCAGCCGGTGCCGGCGGAATTGACAGCCATCAGATAAATCATAACTTCGCACTTGCGCCCGCAATCGGCGTGGGCGCCTGCTCAATCAAACATCCCGCGAAGAAGCCCGCAACGCCGTCGAAATCTTCCAATGTCGTGACTTTGGATACATCTACATCTTGTCAGTATTTCTCTTGCTGTGTCAATGATTGCGCGTCGATTGCTTACATTGATCGGGTCTCACGATGACGATTGCGCCCACGTCGGGGCTCACACCATACTTGTCGTACGCGTGACCATGACCGGAATTGTAGTGGTCGTCGTCGACGAACGTCTTGTGGAGATCTATCGTATTGGTCAGCGCGATGATGGACGATATATGAGGGGGCGGCATACCGCGTATATTCCACTTTCCGCTCTTTGGCCAGAAGTAGCCCGGTATGCTTTCTTGCTCCGTTTCCGGGAATTTGCTGCTTAACACAAGGAGCGTCTCGATGATGCTGTCGATGTGTTTCCCAGCAGGTGTATATCGGCTTGCAATTGCTTCGAGTGCTTTTGCCAGCTGAATGGTGTTAGAATACGAAGACTATGGGAACTGGGCGCGCATACCTTGGCCAGTCGCTTGCGATGCTGCGCTTGGTTGACATCCCCTCCAAACACCACGACGCGCCACCTCCCATCACTCCTCAGCACACTCATCAACTGCACAGCCTTACAATCGCAAAACCGTATCACTTGCGCACTTGGAAAGCGCGTCCCCACCGTGACCGCCGTAGCCGCACTCTTCTCCTTCTCCATCCCCTTGGTAATGATGGTGTCTTCGTACCTCGCCGTGAACCCTGCCATATACCGCCCGCTCTTCCGAAAGTAGTCAGCAAACTCGCCTTCATACCGATCTTTCCTGCTAATCATCTTTGCTAACTCTTTGTCAAAAGCAATTAGGTCAGCGGCCGTCTTACTGCGTTCGGTAACGTATGTCGACAGCAGAGAAGGAGGTGAGAGACCAGACAGCACGGAGCCAAGCTTCCAGCCGATATTGTAGCCGTCTTGAAGCGACACATTCATTCCCTGGCCTGCTTTCGGCGAGTGCGTGTGACACGCATCGCCCGTCAAAAAGACGCGGTTATGCGCATGGAAGACTTCAGCGAGGCGTTGACCGATGCTGTATGCACTCCACCAGAAGACATCTGCAAAGTCCATAGTATACGGCGCGAAGATTCTGCGAGTCTGGTCTTGCAATTCCGCCAGTTTCACTGTCTTGGGCTGCGTGCCGGCGGGGAGCTGGATGTAGAATCGGACTAGTTGACCACCCTCGCGGGGAATGATGATCAGGTTGCCGGCGGTGCTGTGTATAGTACATTTGCGGCGGATGTCGGGGAAGGTTGTAAGTGGGTAGATATCCATGACGCCCCAGACGGTATCGGAAGAGTCGCCTAGCATGCGGATGTCGAGGGCTTTGCGAACGGTGGAATGCGCGCCATCGCAGCCTAAGACATACTTTGCTTCCCAAACATCTTCTTTGCCATCTTTCTCAGCGGTCACTTTGACGCAATGCGCGTTCGGGTCGTTCTTCCCTTTCTCGTCAATGTCCACGCTCTTGACAGCCCAGCCGTACTCGATTCCGTTGCTCGTTCCTTCCTTCCACTTTCCCTTCTCTTTCATGATGGTCTCCATCTTCCCCAGCATCAGTCCGTTCATGCGCGCTTGATTCAGAATCACATGCGGTAAATGACTCAAGCCCTTCTCCGTATCGATAGATCTACTCTTCCTCTTAATGCCGCCCTGCTCATTGCCATTGCCATCTTCATCGACACCCCAGAAGCACACTTCCAGGATATGATATGCCTCACGCAACAGATCTTCCGATAGACCAAATGACTCGTAGATCTCTACTGTGCGCACCTGTACGCCATCTGCTTGGCCGATCTTTAGTGGACCAGGGCGTCGCTCCAGAATCGTAAATGGGATATTGTAGATTGTTAGCCAAGTTGCTGCGAAGACACCAGCTGAACCAGAACCGGATATGAGAACATCCGTTTTTGGCATCGCGTCAACGTAGTATATCGATTCGTTATTGAATTGCTGTGGTTTGGCGCACTAATGGGTGAACCCGTAAACGGTAGGGATGAGATGAAAGGCGATTGTATGCGATGAATGCGTTGATGCTACTCCCTACAGCGACGCTCAACGATGCAGTAACGATGAAAGACTACATCGCGAGATGACAGTATTGCGATGTTTATACTTGCCGAATGAAGCTCCGAGGGTGCATCGGACATGCTGCGGGGATGAACATCGACCCGCTCACTAGCGTATCATCAGTGCAGCGAATCCGGGGAAGGGGCCGGAGTAAGGTTCTCCCAAACTTCGCGCGGTGAATGTACGACCATCATGTGAAGGCAGTATTCCAAGGATGTCTACAGCAATGGTATTCGCATTGCTTGCCAGTTGGAGATGGGATGGGCTGTGCTGCTGCTGCGCTTCCACGCGGCCCCAGGAAGCCTCGGCTCGGACAAGACCCCATGTAAAGAATACATCGAAACACCCACCTACAGGAACAAGACTGTATATGATCTAGAAGTCTACATTGCCTTGGGATCTTGTCGTCGTTTTGTCTCTAAACTAATGTAGACTGTAGGGCACCTGTTCGTTTCCTCCCTTGTATGAGACGGAGGTGTGCGCAGGGAGGACTTCGGTCGATTGTAAAGAGTTGATATTACTATAGAAGCGCTAAATATGTCATGATCTCGTCTGCAAAAGGCGGCAAAAGAGCACATTACCAAATGCTTTTGCAGGTCCTAGTTCCTCCAAATTCCAAAAGCTACCGTTCACAAGCAGTAGTACAGTGCTGAAGCATTTTGCCGAAGCTGATATGCGCCATAAACTCCACCCAATGCCGTAAAATGGTATGCGCAAAACATGTATCATCGAAAGTAAAACAAAGCGGGATGTTGTCGTGAGCCTAGTGGCCGACAGCAGAGTAGTGCGAGTTGCGCGTGTACGGTTGTTGGTATAGCGATGGTGCGTCGTAGTCGGAGTCCTGGTACATGGTGCCGCGCTTTTGGTCCTCCTCGAGGAAAGGCTCCTTGACCTCCCAGTTGTGCTGCTTGACGCCGACGGAGAATTCGAGATCTTCGCGAGTGATGGAGTCCCAGTACTGGAAGTTGTCAGCGTTGTTCGATTGGATGATGTTAGTGATAAGCGTACCTTGTAGACCATCATGACAGCAAGCAGGTTGCAAATAGTTGCGAAGAAGAGGCCGTCGATGTAGTGTTGGACCTGGTCGCAGATGGTATCGCTGAAGACGTATAGAATGACCTGGCCGATGACAAAGAAGAAGATGCCGAAGGAGATATCACCAAGTGGCCAGCGGTCCTCCAATGTTCCAACAACCAAGATGATCTGGCTGACGGTGTATACGAAGAGGCAGATGGCGTTGACGATGTAGGTAACGACAAAGATGCCGACGGGGTTGCCGGGTTCCAGTCCAGCCCAGCCCTTGAATGTCAGGAGGTTCACGGCACCGCCGACGATGAACATGGCCAGCGAAGAGAGGCGTAGGAGCCAGACGGAGAGTGTAGTGCCATCCTCGTAAAGTTGGAAGCCGACGAAGCCGTTGATGAGCAGACAGGTGCATAGCGCGGAGACGAGGCCATTCTGGGCGGCGGCGAAGTACGGGTAGGCGGCAGAACCAGGAGCAGCGACACCGGCGTCGAGGACGAGCGATATGATGGTCAAAAGGAGGTAGATGTAGAAGAAGGATGTGATTTCCTTGCGGCCTGCTGTGCATTAGTGAACTGCCCCGGCTATAGACGGCAATGCGCAAACGTACCGACAGCTGTGAACTTGGAGCGCACATGGATAATCATGACGACGGTCATAATCATGGCCAAAATGTGCATAAAGTCATTCGCCGCCTCGAAAATGAGGGTATTCGCAATCTCAATGGTGCGCGCATAGCACTCTGTCTGGATGCCCACGCCATCGTTGATCTCCTGGTGGCCGACAAGCGCGCATAGTGGTATCGGTGCCTTTTCGCATATCGTCTGGAAGTCGCCGAAGCCCATGATGGCGGATTGCGAAACGTGTGGTGTCGCTCGGGTTGCGGCGGGTCTGGCGCGGTGTACGGCGGTTGCTTGGTGTGGATGACGGTAAGTGAGTGAAGTGTGATAGCGGAGGAAGGTGCGGACGATTAGCGAGTGAATGTCCGCAAGGTAAACAGAAACGAGAGAAAGCGCGGTGGGGTGCGACGAGGGTCAGGGATACTATGGGGGCGGTTGTCAGGAGTGAATGCGCACTGTTGACACTTCCCGAGCCGCACTAGGCCCACCCTGCAGGTCGTATCCACATCCAGGCTAGTCCGTGCTATTTGCGTCTCCACGATTTTCTCCGGGCAACGAAACGATACAACCTCGTGATGCCGCCACTCGCACTAAAGTCGCGATCCTCCTCTTTTGTTAACGTCCTTGTGGAAGAAAATCGTCCCTGTCCATAACATACTATGTCCATAAAAGACACCGCAGCGGCTCGTAGTGGCACATAAGAGAGCATGCTCGAGCACCAATTTCGGGAAAACTTGGCCCTTGGTGAAGTAGATAACATAGATGTCTACATTGCCTCAGGGTTCTGTCATCTGTTGGCTTTATCGCTAATGTAGGTTGCAGAGCACGCGATTTGTGCATATGTGGTTTTAGAGCGACAAGACACATCGACAAACCCGCCTGATGGGAGCTGGTACTTGGAAACTAGATTCCTTGCGCCGCTCGGGTCCTAGGGCAATGCACCTCGTTCAAGGAAAAGTATGGACGCCCTAGAGCCTACTTTGACGTTGAGTTACATGCTTTGCATCTTTTCAGGTTAATGTAGGCTCCACGGTGTTCACGTTCTTTGTTGAGTGAGGTGAATCTGTAAAACCGTGTTCTGTCGGAACAGGCGTCAACATCCTGCTAAAACCACATTGTATAGCTTAACCTCTGGTATTTGCACCGAGACGAGATGGTAGCCTTCCGTGATTGGGATGTCACTATGGAAGTCCCGCACGGTCAGGCAGTCGTCAGATATGAGCAAGTCTCTTTCACTCACATTCCACTCTCACTTTGCACCCGAAATCTCTTCTCGACGAGCGCGACCCCAAACCATCGACTTCACTAGCAATCACCGCCCACTTCTGCTTCCTTCGACCGCTTGCCCTGATGATCTGAGAGCTTCCAAGTCCTGAGTCGCCGCTCTTAACAGCCGACGTCCTCTACCAAGAACAAGTTCCGTCTCAACTTCATATCACACACGATGGCCGACTATCCTCCTGATTTCTCCCGCACCGCCAACGACGCAGTGTCGCGACTGCACGACTACCAGGCGCAGAATCCTCTTCGCGTCACGACTGGACCAAGGGGCTACTCAACTTCTCCGTCGCCCGGTCTAGCCTCCCCGTCCATGTCTCCAACCACGTCCGTACGCCAGCTATCACCGCCTTCCCCGAGGGTTCCCAGCTTCCAGCCTTCGCGTATGGCTATACCACCGACCGCGTACGCTCCTTCCCACACCACCGCGCAGCATGCTCCGCCGAAAGCTCCCCTGCCCATCATTGGTACGCAGTCGAAGTCCCCTTCCCCGCCGTATGCTCCGCCAACAGGTCACATACCCATCATCGGTACACAGTCGAAGTCGCCATCCCCGCCGTACGCTCCGCCGACAGGCCACATGCCCGTCATTGGTACGCAGTCAAAGTCGCCATCCCCAGAGCCATCACCAGGACCGTATGTGCCGCAGATCTATCGCGAGCCGCTTGAGCGTCTCACTCGCGAGATGCTCTACGATCGCATATATCTAGTCCTCCGAGATACATTGGCTATCTGGTGGGCGGAGAACCCGGACGCGATGCATCGTCTAGTCTGTAAGTTCTCTTTCCCGCTGCACCACATGGTTTCTCCTCCGCTGACACAGGATATCTCCAGACTATCTGTCCGACTATGTCATCAATCTTGGTGTACATGGTATCTTCGGTCCTAATGGTATACAGTCACTCTGGCAACTCTGCATGTTCATAGGACATGAGGGTAGACGTAGCTATATGTGTTTGGCCGTCCATCCGGAACGCGGCCGCACTGGGGCACCCACGATCGTTCTCAAGGGCGACCTGTGCGAGAAGGAGGGGAATGACCCGTTGGTAGACGAGGAGGTCTATGGATTGGCAAAGGACGGTTTTGAGAAGGCCGCTCTGGCGTTGCATGCCATGATCCTCGTCAAGTCTCCTAAGATTTAGCGGTGGGAAAAAGATTTTGGAGCGGTTGGAGCTCCTCAGACGAGGAAGAACCTGAAGAAACTGAAGAAGCGTGCAGCCTACGATAAGACAATGAGAAGCAAATGGCAAGGCGTAGCGTCTATGTAGGCTCCGCGCGGCGACATCTTGTAAGCTACCCAGGTATCTTAGGTAGTTTCGACTCAGTAGCCGGCATGAGAGCGCACGGGCATGTACATAGCTGTATGTAAGCACAGCCACATATCCCGTCGATGAAAAGATACAATGCCTCATCTGGATGCTGCACTCTTCGCTATGCCAGTCGTTGCGCGCCTGATCTGCAACGTCGTCGCAAGTCAAGATACCTAGGTACCTAGGTAGGGAAAAACTGAACAGGTCTGCAGCCTACGTTTTTGTAGATCTAGTCTACACTTATATAAAAACATGCAAAGTAGGATAAGTAACGTTTATGTAGGCTCTAGGCCTGTTCGGTTTTTTTCTCGTATGAGGTGGTCGGACATCTGCGGGTTCGACATCTCACGATTGGTCGGCTCGTAAAAGCACGTGATGCTTCCAGGGCGCTGATGTCATGATTGGCCGTCTTCCTTCCGCCACACTCGCACCTTCGTCGCGTGTCCTATCCGACTACTCACGCGTCTCCATCATGCAGTCACGCCGTACTCTTACCGCCATCTCTGGCCTGCATCCAGGATGTCTTCGACGAGCGAGGCGTCTTTCCAAGCCCGCAGACGGGCTCCAAAAGTGAAGACAGGCTGCAAGACGTGCAAGTACGCAGCGGACACCTTTGCATGTGACAAAAGGCTGACACATCGATTCCAGAGTGCGACGCGTCAAATGTGATGAGAAGAAGCCAGAATGCCTCAAGTAAGCATTGACTCCCCGTTCTCGCGGATCATTCCGTGAGCTAATGCTGTCAGGTGTGTGCGTACTGGCCGCAAATGCGATGGTTACACTACAAACGACGCGAAGTTCCAAGTTCATGTCTGGACTCATGGACGAGCCTCCGATCCACAGAACGCCATCTCTGCCTTCAGTGGCCTTGGAGATAGTGCACGCTATCTGGACTTCTACTACCATTGCGCCTGCCCTGCACTCTCCACCAACTTCGATAAAGAATTCTGGTCTCGCATCGTACTGCAGATGGCTCACTCGGAACCAGCCGTTCGCCATGCCGTGATAGCTCTAGGAGCTCTTTGCCAAGCCGAGCCTGGAGATATGAAGCATGCATGCGCCGGCTTCATTGCCAATCATGAGCGCAAGGTCATGTTATCTCATTACAATAAGTCCATTGGCTGCTTAGTCAATCGAATGAGCGATGCCACTTACTCGCCGGAGCTTGGACTCGTTATCTGTCTTCTTTTCGTCTGCATTGAGTTCCTCCAAGGCAACTACCATGCCGCCTTCACCCATTTGAGGAACGGCTTCAAACTAATGTACGCGCCCCGCATGGCACTACCGAGCTATCGGGGCTCATTACAAAGCACGTATCCCCCAAAGGTAGTATTGGACGGGTCCGGACCTTCGAGAGGCTCAACAGAAGACAAGTTGATGTCCATCTTCACCCGCGGCATGGCGCAAGCTTTGCTCTATGGCTCCAGAATCCAGGAAGACTTGGAAATATTGCAAGTGATGCCTGCTTCGTACTCCGAGCGGTCATTTGTGAGTCTCTCCGAGGCGCACCAGGCCTACTTCGAGCTTCGCAACGCATCCATAACCCATCTGTATATCATGGGAAGGAAATCACTCGTTCGACAGAATCCTAGTCTTGAACTGTATCGAGAACGGGACAATTTGTTGACTTGCCATCATCTCTGGTACGAGAACATGCAGCGCTTCGAGAAGCATCATGCGCTCTCGAACGATGAATTAATGGCAGCGAACGCCCTCAAGGTTTCCTATCACACGACGTTCGTTTACGTATCATGCTCAGCAACAGTCATCGAGAAGACATACGACAACTATCTGGATCACTTCAAGAAGATCTTGCATCATGCCCAAGCAATCATCGATTCGAGACCGCCCATGAACCCCAACACCGCTCACTTCACTTTCGACATTGCGATAATTCCACAGCTCTACTTCGCCGCAACACGATGTCGCTGTCCTGTCACCCGACGAGAGGCAGTAGCGCTTCTAGAACGTAACCCGCCGCGCGAGGGCCTCTGGGACGTGCAGCAACATGTACTAGTGTCCAAACGAGCGATCGAACTGGAAGAAGCCACAGTCGACCCCACTACCGGCTGGCCGGTAGAGGAGACCAGATTGTGGAATTGCATTATTAAGGCGGGTGTTTCGCGTAGCGGTGGCTTCTGGGCAACGTTCTTGCCAGCCACGTGGATCGGGCTAGTGGATGCGAACGGGAACCAGAAGATGATTCGCGAGTTCTTCGTTTTGTGAGTGTGGCGTGCGACCGCATGTGGATGTCGCGGACCATGCCAGACTTCTGGAAGCAACGTTCCGCATACGATGTAACCGTTTCTTCATCTCGGAGGTTGATACCGCTACCGTTGACACAGTCCTAGCTTTCATATTTGCAGCAGCAAACGAGCAACAAGGGGAGATATGAAGAAGGTATCGCGCAAGCACACCGGGATAAATCACATAAAAGCCTGCTCCCGCCGAAACAAAACTCGCAACCATCTACACTACAATCCAACAAGTACAACTCTCAAACATGACTTTCAACCCAGTACGACACGCTTTCCAGACGATGCTGGCGGACCAGAAGTACCGTGGTCTCCCTCTTCTCACTGCTTCAGACTACACACCTTTCCTCAGTACGTCTCACCCTCTTCAACATGCTGATTTATTTGCTAATACTCTACAGAGGCCATTGAAGCTCTCCTCGCAAACCCCACCTTCATGCACGACCATGCCTGGCAGACGGAATCACTCGAGCACTCCATCAGCCGCCCTGCCTTTAGCGCCAAGAACCGCCAGGACTGCGACAACAAGTTGGATATTCGACGCTACGAGGGCGCGGAGAAGGACTCTCGTGGGGCGACGGTCTTTGAAGGCAGTGTTGTTCTTATTGTCGTTGATGGGTATGTGTTGGCCAAGGGAAGGAGTACCTCCTCGCCGACAGATGCGCTGCTCGATGTGTTTCAGAAGGTTGTTACTTTGGCACGAGAGTATGAGTGATTTGGCTCATGGCGATCATTGAGGCTATCTTCATGGCCTGTCTGTATTACTAGTGCCCTGTGCTTCACCTCTTGGCCGCGAGGGACTGTTGCTGGCTGTCATATGCTCTATCATAGTGTATACTAGGCTTGTACCAAACTGTGAACGGTACCATTCAATTATTCAAGGCTGCCTGACTCTGAGTGATGCTTGTCGAGACATTGTGGATATGCAGCTCGATTGCTCGAAGCTGCTTTCGCAAACATGCGGAAAGGCGTGATTAGCCAGGTCATACTGCGCCGCCCACATTGCTGAAGAAGTTTGATGTCAAACGCATGTACAATATAAGATGCTGATTCATGGTCAGTCCTTAACTTCGTCCGCACAAAGAATACAGCAAGATCACAATACTCATGGACGAAAAGAAATACGACCCGAGCTTCAAGAACCAGGTTGAATACGTCATAGCGGACAAAAAACTAGGAGTCTTCAGTTATACGAAGTACCAGCCTTGGTGTAGTAAGTACCACCTCTTCCATCGGAAGTGATCGACTAACATAAGTCAAGAGGACATCATCTATCTTCTCGACGTGGGAAGAAAACATCTACAGCACTACCCATGGGAGGGCGCGCAAAATGACGAAGATGCAGAACTCCATTCCGGTGCAACAACCCTCGTTGATGGCGGCGACTCCAACGATTCACTTGACAGTATGAAGCAATCTTTTGACTTCCCAACCCAGTTCAATGCGTCAACGGTAGAAGGCCAAAAGTCTATCGCAATCACAATCAAGTGGGAATTGGAACCGGAATCCTGGATTCCTGGTGCGGTCCGTTGGGAGGGTCATGTTGCGCGCTTCCTGGTTGGTGAATGGACGCTGGCGAAGGGTCAGTCGGACGTGAGCGAGAGGGAGGCGATGATTGCGCTTTTTGATAGGGTGCATATGCTGGCGGAGAGGTTTCGTGAGATGGATGAGGAGAAGCGTAAGAAGGATGAGGCGGAGCGTGCGAAGGACGAGGAAGAGCGTATAGCGAGGGAGAAGGAGGCTGAAGAGGCGGGTGTGGAGTAGCCCAATCTCACGTACCAACGACGTCGTGGGTGTAATTTGGGGCGGCAGGACGTACAAAGACTCTGTATAGCACTTGCTTTAGATGCGCATTTCTGATGGTGGTCGCTAGCTTCCCAATCTAGTCAGTTCATCAAGTCGTCGAGCAAATTATATTCCTAGATTGGTATCCCTGTGTACGGAAATCTGAACACCCTGGAGCCTACATTGACGCTGGGTCATCTACTTTGCATGTTTTCATCGTGATGTAGTCTGCGGGCCTGTTCGGTCGTTGCCTTCACTTTGAACGATCGACAGGCCCATGGTGACTGACCACTGCGTACGACGACTGTCATGGGTTGAAGAGTGAGAGAAAGTCGGTCCGCGGTCTAAGGCAATATCATCACTAAGTATGGCTCGACTTATATTCCCTATCGCGGGGGTCTCACCATTCACGACCTTGTGACCTCTCACGCAGCGCGACCTTCGGGACAGATACAGCACGGCCTAAAGACCACCAGCAACCCGTCTTCTGAACCGCCACACAACCGACAAGAGCGATGAAGCTAAGGCTCCGTCTTGGGCAGCCCAAAGACAGGCTGCGCAGTCATCTCCAAAGCTCACTCGATGACTCTTTGGGCAAATTACCGTCGCACGATCGGACACAACTCCTTGGTAAGTAGCCGGGCCAGTATAGCTGCCATCAACTAATCGCAAGCATCAGACGATCTCTGCTTCCTGTTACGCAGCCCTCTCTTCCTCTACACCATCGCCCCACGCATACGCCGCGCGACAGCCACATCGGCGCGCGATACAATCGGCCTCATGACGCCCAGCTCACTAGCTGACGAAAGCGTAAAGGAAGAAGGCATCGATACATCAGCGCTCAACATGAAAATCGGATGGGATGGCGAGAGCTGGGCGACCCAACTGCTCTACGACAACATCTCGCTCATCGAAGGTCGAGAATACAGCACCACGAAAAAGGCCGGCTACGCTCCAAGTTTCCACTGGTTTTGCGAAGAGGCGAGATTCTTGAGCTGCGAGTTCCACGCTCGTGAACAACTTGCAATGATTGCGCCAAACGTTGCCGTTGAAGCGGAGCCGAAGGAGGTGGAAGGTCGCCAGACGCGCGCGAAGAGTGCGGGAACGAAGCAGCGTCGCGTCGTCAAGTTGAGTATAAGGTACAAGATGGTTCGTGGCAAGCCGACGCTTACGAAGAAGGCGACTTAAACGAAGAGTTATGCGGTGTACCAAGGAAGCGATTGAACTGGGTCCGCCCAGATGTGGGGGGATTGGAGGCTTAGCCGTAATGTTACAGTATGAGAGACATGGTGTGATGGAGCGTGGAGCAACTCTTGGTATGCATCTGTTCGAGAGGGCGGCTGAGGGTTCTCGTCTTCTACAGGCAGCATTGCTATTCCTGCGCTATCAGCATAGTTGAATGTGAATGTACCCGTATGCGAAGATGGTTGTTCTTGACGAGTTGTACATGAAGTGTTGCCCAAACGTATACATCACCGTCCTTACATGGGGGGTGCAACTTCAAGCACCACGTATACGCTAACATTGTACCCAACTCGGGTTGATCAGGTCACTTCGCGACGCATCTCGTTAGGCTTGTGCAACGCCATCCTCAGACGAAGCATAATGGCCGTCGGGGATGGATCTCGCCGCAAAGTTGATGACGTCCACGGGTATCTTTACAGTGAAAGTAAGTCTAGAAGCCGCTACGCAGAAAGAATAGAGTGCGCCTTTAACTTAGACTGCAGTCTAGTTCTAGGTTAGACTTAGTCTTTAAGATTATACTTTAGTATATAGTATAATTATAATAGCTTTAATATTATTTACTAAAGTATCTAGTATATTACTATAGTACTATAAGTGTGTGTAGAGGCTCTTAATAATTTAGAGAGATACTATTAGTTAAGAAGAACACTAGTAACTCTAAAGATAGCGTTTCTTAGTTTTAAGTAAATATAATAAGTTAAAGATTTTTAAGTATAATAGTATATAAAGCTACTAGTATACTAGCAATATTCTTCTCTTCTCTATATAATACTATAATAGCTATAACCTTTAAAATACTAGCTCTAATAACTTTATTAGGTATTAACTCTAATATAATTATATCTAAGCTAGTATCTTTAGAGCTAAAAGCTAATAATACTAAACTTAAGATAATAATAGTTATAAACACTACTACAGAGACTTTAATAGAGAAGAGACTTTAGTAGTATACTAATAAGTGTTAATAGAGTAGATTAGTTATTAGTTTATCTAAGTGCTACTATATTATAGTAGAGAGATTAGAAGTATCTCTATTAGAACAGGTGCTTAATATAGTTAATTGTATTATATATATCTAGTTCTTATTCTTGTCTAAACGCTGTTTAGACCTAGCTTTCTCTAGCGCACTAACTCTTAAGCCTAATAGCTATTTAGCTTATTATTATATTACTAGTTTTACTACTATATCTCTCTTATACTTAAGAAGAAGGCCTTCTTTTCTTCTTAAGTATAAATAGAAGAATAGCTCTTAGACATTCTCTTCTACCTATTATATTGCTAGATTCTATCTACTTAATCTAAATATACTATGCGCTAAACTTCTGCCTAGAAATCTAAATATAAAATCTCTTTAGGCTGTTTCTATTTTAGTATATCTCTCTCTATTACTCTTCTTATTTTAATTTAATCTCTTCTACTAGCCTATAGCCTTTTTCTCTATTTCTCTAGTGTATTTTAAACTTTATCTTAATTACTTTTAATATTAGCAGCTAATAATCTTTTAGGCTTAGATCTATATCTTTCTTAAGTTTAATCTTTGCTTTTCTATAGCGCCTACCTATCTAGCGCTTAACTCTTTATAATATTAGTCTTTTCTCTAATAGATATTCTATTATCTCTAGTATATTACTAGTATATTTATAGAAATATTCTAAGAAGTTTGTACGTGCTATACTACTATTAGAACTTATATACTAGTTACTTTACTTTTTTACCTAAGAGCTCTTTAGCGCTTAGTAACTAGGCTATTAAAATAATAATATTATAACTTTTCTTCTTACGCATAGTAATTACTACTCTTAACTCTACCTTTACGCGTATAGCTTTTCTCTATTCTCTCTCTATCTTCTTCTCTTCTTCTACTTTACTCTACCTTAATCTTTTTTCTCTACTATAGCTTTACCTACGCGCTCTAAAAGCGAGTTAGCTGCTATAGATACTTTACTACTTACTATATTTACTTTTTATACTTAGAAGCTTACTACTAAGCTAGCTATTATATCTAAGGCTAATAATAGCTCTGCTGCCTTTACTACTATATCTACTCTTAAGCCTACTATAGCTAAGTAAGCTACTACTATTACTACGTACACGCTTACGTTTTCTAAGCTAACTTCTACTAATAAGATAACTATTAAGCCTAAGGCTATAGATAATTCTACTACTATTACTACTTAGCCTATAACTAAGAGTGCTAGTAATAATACTATACTATTATTCTAACCTTTACGTACGCCTAAATAGCTATTAGCTAAACTTACTTTATCTACTTTACCTAAGACTACGCTTTTAATTAAAGCTAAGACTAGCGCTAGTGTTAGCTAAACTAATACTATTATAACTAACGTGTCTAATACTGCTCTACTACTTTTCTCTATCTGTAATATTAACTCTGCTAGCTATTCTTAGCCTAACTTAGCTCTAATAAAAGCCTCTTAGACGCCTACGTCTTACCTTTCTAAGAAGTAGAAGAACTAGAGTAAGTTTCTGTACCTTTCTATTTTTACTCTAACTAAGACTATTAAAGAAAGTAGGTATAGTATATATATAGCAAAGTTATATAAGTACAAAACTTCTAACTCTAGTTGCGATTAGTATATTACCTAGCGTAAGTCTTTTCTCTTTTCTAGAGCCTTTTAACTAAATATTATTCTAATATCTTCTACCTTATTAGTAACTAACTAGAGAGCCTATATTATTACTCTTAGCTTTACTATAGATATACAGAATTACTTATATACCTTACAAAGCATAGAACGCATACTTAGGCCTTCTCTGTCTATTTTAGCTACTAATTAGAAAAGCTATTAGTCTAATATATAGGTTAACGCTTATAGTAACTTCTACTTAGCTAATCTAGAGATAACTATTAGTAAATTCTTTTAGTTAGATAATAAGTCTGTGCGCTAGCTATTTAACTCTAATATAGAGGCGCTTATACTATCTTATTACTTTAGCGCTAAGTTAGTTAGTGTAATTAATTCTTTAGTTAAGAATTCTTCTATTAAGATTATTATCTATAGTTAGTGTACGTTATTAAATTATAGAAAGATGTTTAGCTAGTGTATCTAAGTCTATATTAATAGCTAGCTAATAAAGAGTAGAGTTTGTACTAATTACTTAAAGCATAGTAATTATTAGGTTTACTCTTTTTGCAGTAAGTCGCTAACTATTCTTTAGATACTTACTTTCTTATTTCTAGTATCTTTGCTAATATATTCTTCTAGAGATCTAAGTAGTAAGACGTAGCCTTAAGTCTACTATAGCCGCTAAGTCTATAGTTGCCTCTAATATAATTACTAGTCTCTCTAAGAGCGTTCTTACTTATCTTAAGGCTAGTAAGAAGCTAACTACTATATCTAAAGAGAGTAATAAGGCCTTATTTACCTAGGCTAGCGATAGTATAGCTACTTAGTATAGATACTATTTAAGTAATATTAACGCTAGTTATAACTTAGCTTTCTAACTAAGCCTAAAGAATCTTAGCTGCAATTTGCCTAAAAAGGCTTCTAATACTAAGACTACTTCTACTTCTACTAGCGCAACTTATATTTAGTTATTATTACTACGCTTAAAGATTCTTAGTAAGAGTAATAATAAGTCTAGGTTAACTGTTGCTAAGCGTTAGAGCTAACCTACAAAGTCTAGTCTATCTACTAGCTAGCCTGCTCTAGACGCTGCGCTTTTTATTAGACCTAATAGCTGTTTAGCTACTAGTGTTCTTAAGCCTATTACGCTAACTAGAAAACCTTATTATTATACTCTTTATACTGTCTCTTCTTCTATCTAGGTTCTAGGTAGTAGTTATAGTTAACCTTGCAAGTAGCCTAAGCCTAAGAAGGCTATTACTAATAAGGTAGATACTATTAGTAATAATATTGTTAAGTCTAAGGCTTCTACTATTACTACTCTTGTTACTACTTCTACTAGAACTACTAAGCTTGTTTCTTCTTTAACTTCTACTAATTCTACAACTTCTAGCTCTACTAGCTCTTCTATACGCAGGTAGTTCTCTAGTCTCTTTTCTCTCTAATTAACTCTTAGGTCTATCTGTTCTACTTTATAGTTATAGTAAATAAAATTATAATATACTTCTAAGTCTTCTCTTATTACCTTATATTTTTACACTTATAATATTATAATAGCTAAACCTATATTACTTTTCTTCTATACTTAAAAGAAAGAAAGTCTCTTCTTCTTTAGCCTTAGGTTCTAAATATTATTTAGATATAATCTTTCTATTATAATATTCTTAGGTTTCTAGTAGTTATTATAATAATACTAGATTCTAAGCTATAATTAAGAAGTACTAATAGCAATAGCTTTAGCAGCCTTTATAATTTTGTAGAAGATCTTCTAATATCTTTCTAAATTAAAATAATTCTTCTATAAAGTTAAGATCTATTTCTAAGGTTCTTAAAGCTGTTCTCTAGCCTATTTAAGAGCCTTTTCTTATTAGTAGATACTAATTTAAGCGCCTACTTAAGATGTCTAGTTAGAGTTTTGCTATAGCTCTAGCTAAGTAGCCTTTAGTTAAATTTCTAACTACTCTAAATATATTATATTCTATATTATAGTATTATAATATTCTTCTTACATTGCTAATATATCTTAAGAGTATTATTATATACTAGTTAGCTTTAAAATTCTACTATTATAATCTAGTGTTGCGTAGTAGTTCTTATAAGAAAAGTAGGTCTATTACTATAGGCTTAATAGCTCTTTAGGTAGTAAACACATTAAGTAAATTCTTCTATAATATTTTTATTACTACTTTCTACTCTTTCTACGCTTTAACTGCCTTATACTCTTCTATATACTCTTCTACCTTTTTTTGCTCTTTACTTTACTACTACTACTATTATTCTATGCGCATTCTTACTATAGCTTTTAGCTCTATTAACACTACGCCTAAAGATAAGACTATTAAGCAGCCTCTTGTT